ATGAGAAGACTGAGTCTCAGAAGAGCAAAGGCATTTTCCCAGCGTGAAAACAAGATCCAGAAAACGTCCCACGGAGACCCCGCTGAACACCGAGGTGGAAACTGGCTCTGGGGCGTCACAGCAAGTGGCAGAGGCGCCCACTCAGCTGGCCCGTTAGGATCTTAAGTTTGGAGGGCGAGCCAGCCCCCCTCAATAATTCCCAAAGGGGGAATTCTGAGCCATAGTTTTGTTTTCTTGAGGCCATAATTCCTATGCCTCAGAAAGTTGGGACAGTTAAAAAAAAAAAAGAGTACAAAGTGCTTAGCACAGCACCTGGCCTGGAATGAGTGCGAAATAAATGTACTTACAGATGGAAAGAACTGAACCAGCAGAACAGAGGTGCCTAAAATAATGCCAATACTCAGCCACCTTTGACCTACAGAAACAGCAGTTTCCTATGGTTGGGCCTCAGAGTTAACACTTCTGCAAAGCCGGGACGGTTTCAGGAACTCAGAGCCAGCCTGGGATGGGGGCAGCCTGGGGAGGGCGCGGGTGGCAGGGCACCAGCAGGCCCCGTGAGGCCCCTGGGCCCACAGCACCCACCCTAGTGCCCGAAGGACCTCGTTAGCCCTCCACTGACTCACCCCGGCTCCGCTCGGAAGCTAGTTTCACATCCAGATTTGGATGGAGGCTGATGGCCCTGCCCCACCCTCCTCCTGAAGGGGAGGGAGGCAGGGAGGGCTCACCCAACTGGCTGCACTCACTCCTTTCCTAGACGTCTCCAAGGAGGAATAGGTCACAGGGACTGCCAGCTTCCGGTGTGAGTTTGAGATCCCCACCCACTTGCCCAAACCACAGCTTTGAACTCTGGTTGCAAAATAGCTGAATGTCCAGTCTTTGGGTTGCCTTCCTTCATCTGAAAATTTTTCCTTTCTGTAAACTTTTTTCTTTTTTTAATCGTCACCCGAGGATATTTTTTCCCGTTGCTTTTCAGAGACAGTGGAAGAGAGAGAGAGAGAAACACCGATGTGAGAGATACATTCATTGGTTGCCTCTCACACGGGGATCAAGCCTGCAACCGAGTTTCGTACCTTTGACCAGGATAGAACCCGAGATCCTTCAGTCCACAGGCCGGCACTCTAACCACTGGGCCAAACCGGCTGGGGCTAACTATGGGTTTTCGGCCTCTGCTTATTTTCTTGTACTTTGGGGTGACTTTCTGGGGGGCAGGGGGCAGCAAGGGGATATCCTGGCCCCGCACATTCTTCAGACATCTGGGTCCTGTTGCAAGTTCTTTGCTGGCAGAATTGGTTTCAGGTGGCTTTATTGCAACTCTCTCTCCTCCTGAAGTTTTTTACATAAAACAACCCATGAAAGGGCAGGGGTGGCCTAGTGGTCTGGCAGCGTCCCTTTGAAAATAAACAAGCACAGAAAATGAAAGGCAGCAGCCATCTCTGGGGACTACTTGGAGAAACAGTTTGGGGCCTGGGCATCCGCCACGTGTGGCTCTCCTGCCCGCCAACCCCCCCTCCCCCCAGATAGCAGGTCAGATATGGCGAAGCCAAAAAGGATGCTTCAGTGTCATTCGATGTCACCTCTGGCCTGGGAGACCCCACTCCTACCCCCACCCCAGATGGCAGTGACACCTTTGCTGGGCACGGTCATTCTGGTGGGGAGCATCTAATTGTAGGGGGAGCTGGAAGACTCCCGTGGCTGAATAATAGCCCTTGACAGTTTGGACAGCCAGCCTCACACCTCTAAGGGAAACGGAGGCACAACGGGGTGAAGAAATAGAGGCATGTGGGCAAGACCCAGTGAAAACTGACCTCAACTATCAGGGGCACGTATTGGCTCACAAAACTGAAAAATTCAGAAGGACCGGCTGGGGCCACGTGCCCAGTGCTGCTGTCCAGTCTGGGCTTTTCCAACCCGTGCAGTTCTGGCAGCCCTGCCCTCGGTCCAGCAGAGCCCTGGCTCAGAAACCTCCAGCTTCTCCTTATCAAGGAAAAATGAGCCTTTTAGCCCCACACCTGGGCTTCCTCCACCATCCTAGAAGCCTCCCCGACCACACCATCGAAATGCACCTCTCCCATTAATTCCAAACTCTGTCAGGCAAAGGGTCAAGCTTGAGTCACTGCTGACCAGGGCTCAGCACACAGACGGTGCTCAACGGATGAATGACTGGTCCCTCGGTGGAGGGAGACGAGAGGAAGTCAGACAGCTCCATACAGGGAGCTGAAAACAAAACAAGAGAAGCCAAGAGAGACACAGAGAATGTGAAACAAAATGACTGAGAGACAGAGGTCTGGGGGTGGGGGGACAAGAGTGACACAGACAGAGGGGAAGATCCACAGAGACAAGCCTGGAAGGAAGGAAGCTTCATCCAGGACTGAGACCCAGGGAACAGGCACCCAGGACAGGAAAGGGGAGAGGGACAGGGGACCAGCTAATGCATTTTGTTGTTGTTAAGCAAACAGGTCCCTACAGTCTGTGTTCTGTCCAGCTGAACTTTCCATATCAGGAGTTTATTTTGCTGAGCAACCAGTCCTGGTAAAAACACTGGAAGACGTTAGAAAGGAAAAGGGGTGGAGAGCAGAGAGGCACACAAACAAGGAGAGAACATTTGCCTCCAGGTGTGGGTCAATGGGGAGGCGAGACTTGGAGCAGGCTCAACAGTCGTCCTACCCTTTCCTTATCTCCGCTCTCCCAGGGCCAGGTGTCAGGTGGAAGAGGAAGGGAGACTGGAGAAAAAAAATTTAAAAGTCACCTCAGGGTGGGAGTCTGAGCTGAGAGGGAAATGCCCGAGCTGCTGGAAAGGGCCCAGGGAAGGTTCTGGCTCTGGCCAGAGCATGTCAACAGATGGCGAGTTAAGACAAGTAAAGACAAAGTTGCAACCCACCTGCGATGTGGACTGACCTCTCGTCCCTGCCATGGGCCACAGCTGCTGTCAGGGACATGGCAAACTGGTGTCCTGGCCAGGACCCAGGTGGGGGAGGCCAGGTGTGCTTTTTCTTTTTTTTTTTTCATTGCTTTTCAGAGAGTGGGGGAGAGAGAGAAACATGGATGTGAGAGGCATCAATTGGTTGTCTCCTGCACTTGCCTGGCCAGGGATTGAGCCTGCAACCGACCTACGTGTCCTTGGCCGGAATTGAACCTGGGACCCTTCAGCCCGAGGGCTGACGCTCTAACCACTGAGCCAAACCAGCCAGGGCCCAGGTGTGGGCTTTTAAGCTGGGGCTCTGATTGGCTACATGACTGGTCCATGAGACAGTCCTAAAGTTGCCTCCCCGGGGTAAGGTGGCCGAGGACAGCTGCCCACAGCACCCAGCGGTGCCTAATGGTGGCAGCTGGCATGACTGTGGGAGATGCCGGTCCCTGCGTGCAAGTGGCTTCCGGTGTCCTGTACAAAGTCAAGGCCACGTGGCCGTGCCGGGGACACACGGCAGCAGCCGTGGGACATTCTCACCACCGATGGGATTTTACTCGTTATTACAGGGCTACAAAACCACACAGTGTCGTTCATGATTTGAATTTTTTTTTATTTTCTGAAATGGAACCATTGTACATTGTACAAACCATATCTACTGATGGAATAAATAAGTGAAAAAAATTATACTGCTGTACAGCACACCAAAAAAAAAAAAAATCTTAAGAAGGGGGGGGAAGAAATAATCAGGTAACGTGAAAAAAGGTCTTTATACCTCTAACCAGGTCCCTGGCGGTAATGAGCATTCCAAACCATGACGTCGCCCGAATGGGAGGTCACCGCCCTGTGAGTCGCTGGGCTGCCTTCCGGGTCAGGGTGCGAGTGCCAGCACTTTGTGGAATGTGTAGCCGCAGCCTCCCCAGCTTCGAGTCTCTCGGGGACCGAGTTTGCCCTGGGAGCCCTTTAGCCGCGGGCCGGGTGCCCGCAGGGGCATTCGCCCAGGACCCCGCCCTGGCGCGGCCCGCGGAAAGGTCTGAGATT